TACAATTTGCCAATTTCACTGCATAAAGTCGGTAGTGTAAATTCCCAGGTTAATACAACCGGCAGTGTTATGTCATGTTGTTTAGTGGTAACATAAACTTTGTTTATTTAACTTAACTTCATTTACACTAAGTTTTTTTGCAAAAACATAAACTTATTCTTATTTTTACAGTTTGCTTCGAGAGCAAAGAAAATTAAGAACAAGCCGATAGTGAACGAGGTTGTGAATGATGAGGCCATGCTAAGACGATATCGACGAGAAATCGATGATCTGAAGAGACAGCTCGAAAGTGCTCATGTGGGTATTAATTATCAAGCAATCTAACGACCGACTTGCCTCTAATGACTGTGGTCGCCGTGGCACGATTCACATGTTTACAAACAACATACTTTTTTTTACTCGTCTACGTTACGCTATGTCGGCATGCTTAGTCGACAACTAGTTGTGGTTCTAGATTTCAGCTTTATTCGTTGGCTCGTCAGAAGGGAAAATATTTCTTGCAGATGTGCTGCATTGTACAGTCAAACCTGTATGTAAGGATCCCTGAAAGGAAATGTGACAAGTGTCCTTCTTAGACAGGTGTCTAGAAGTGATATCAGAAAGTCCAGCTGTGTTATTTAGGTCATAGAAAAAGGGGGTATAAAATGGCCGAGGGGCGCTTAGGAATTAAAGTACATGATTAATGTAAACACTAGTGCGTTTTTAGTTTTTGCATTAACACATACATTGCAAAATATCCTAAATGACCACAATCATATTTGTAAATGTTTCTGTAAACAGAAACGCACCTGTGAATTGAAGTACGATGTTAGTGAAGAGAAATATAGATCAAAAACCTAGACTAGTACTATCCTAACTATGTTATATAAAGGCAACTTATCACCCCTCTTATCTGATCTCAATATGGTGGCGGGGACTTTCCGATATGGCTTATTTTATGGAGGTGGTTTGACTGTGTATAAAAGCCATTCAAGTAAAATGCCAAAAGAGCCCTTTAGAGACAAGTGTCTGTTCTATACAGGGTGTCTACTACCACAGGTTCCACTGCATTGCATGAGCGAAGGGTTAAAATAATCTTGGCCACTCGTACGAATTTTACTCATATATAATAAGCTACTTAATAAATTATATTACCAGTTAACTAGTGTTAAGTTCAGTAATTATTATTATTAGTTAATCTTGGCCACCTGTACGAATTTCCTTGCATTAGCTACTTAGTAAATTATATTACCTGTTAACTAGTGCTAAGTTTAGTAATTAGTTACTTCGTGTATGCCGAATAATTTCTGCGTTTGCGTGATAACGGCACTGACAGTGTGCGCGCTCATGGCACGGGCGTGGCACGGGCGTGGCACGGGCGTGGCACGGGCGTGGCACGGGCATTCACGAGCGTTATGCCTTTACAGCAGCCCCAAGAGCGCACGGACCATCTCGTTTCCAACCTAGAGAAGGAGCTGGCAGAGCGCGATCGCAAGCAGAAGGAGCAAGAACAAATGATCGAACTCTACGAGAAGATTATCAACGGGCCCGTGCCGAAGGAACGGGGCATGAAGGTACGTGCGCGAGTCTCACGGCTGAAACATAATTATTCCCTGATCGATGAACCGGACTGGAGTGGTGGTCGCTTGCCGCTGCTTGTTTGATTTTGGTGGCTGGTAGTTCCATTGCACTCGATCATCTATGAGGGTAACCTTTTACGACAGCACAGCGTCTTGATCATGCTGGTATGGGATGTTGTCTCGTCTGTCATTTCTCGATAGACAATGCGGATCGAACCAAGGGCAATACAATAGAGGGATATAACAATAGGAGAATATAATGCGTAATGTCGTAAGGAATTCTCCTAAATGAACAAGAGATTTCGTTACTATAATTAAGGGATTCTTCTAACGATTTTAATGCTGTGATAATATCTGTTTAATATGATGAGAGATATAATTTGTCACCAACTTTAACTCTAGTGGCACTGTAGTTTGGGTGCACTCACGTTGCGCCATGCTCGTCACTGCTTTAGGGGTAGAAATTAACTTTTGAACAAGGGAGTCCAATGGACTCCCTGCCCTCAAAATGAGGGAGTCCACAGTCTGAAGTTCAAAACTAAAGATATTAACAATAACGCGTGTGCTTATTTTGAAGATTCATGTGGTTACACGTCTTCCTAATAGTCTGCAAAAAAGTCTTCCAAAAAATACGGCAATTACGCGAGGCTGTGCTCTGGAACGAAGTAGTTCGTATGTAGTATAGCAGAATTTTCAGGGAGTCACACTGACTCCTGCATATGTTAAATCAGGGAATTCGACAGAAAATCAGGGAGTATTTGACTGCTGCTTTACAGAGGAACCTGCGCAGAGAGACGTGGTGTCCGGGCCAGACAAAGAACATACTTCCGACCACGCCCGTCCACTCGAGGTTCCCTGGTATTGGCAACACGACAATAGATCCTTTCCAAGAGGAGCCACTTCAGGAGGAGACAGAAGAAAGCGTGTTTGTACGTAAAGTCACGTGCACTGACGTTAGCATTGACTGCCGATCGATAAACGTGACTGTGTCTGGATAGGTTGCTCTCTTCCTCCTGTCGGTTGAACTACTGGAACACAGCAGGTTTAAGACGAGACTTATGGCTCACTTACTATTCGTGTTGTACCTTTAAGGCATGTATTACCAGATTTGTACAGATGCATTGCTCAGAAACACTCGATCCGAAAAAAATATAGCTGAATATAGTTACACCTGACAGCGGAAATATCACTGATTGCAACAGAAACGAAATCGGTAAACAAAAGTTGTAATCGTGCATGTTTGGGTGAATACGAAGGTTCTAAGACATTTTATCGTTACTCTAGACAATTGCTGTTACTCAAGCAATAACGGTAGGTATCATGAAAGTGGGGAAAACACTGAAAGACTCTCGTAACAATTACTTTAATATGGTTTAAGCGAGCTCTATTTCGTGTGGCTTTCATGTGTGATGCACAGCCTTCCAGCAGTCGACTGTCACAACCTATATGTATATAGTACACGTCTTCTCCTTCTGCTCTTTCTTCTTCTTCTTCTTCTTCTTCTTCTTCTTCTTCTTCTTCTTCTTCTTCTTTTTCTCCTTATTATTCTTTTTCTTTTTTCGTCTCTGTGGTTTTCCTAAGTTGCTGCTGTATTTCTGCTGCTTCTTCTCCTTCTCATTGTCCCCCTTCTCCTTGTCCTCATGTGCATCATCCAGCTCTTCCTTGAAGTACCCAACTCAGCGTACAGACACCTTTGTCCACCCCTCCCCATCAGCAGAGAGCATCGTCGTAAACTTGTAGTGACACTGAGTCTTAACTCGGCATCGTTGCAGCTTCCGCGAGCAAAACGCGTCTGCTTTAGTGGATCGTTCCTTAGCATCCCTGAGGGGGCGGCTGTGGACGAAGAGGAAGAGAACCCTTTATCTGCGATGGAGGAGGAGGAGGAGGAGGCGGTGGAAGAGCGGGAGGCAGCTGGCGGCGCCACAGATCGCGATGCGCACTTCGATTTGAAATTAGCCAATGAAAGAAACGCTGTGGATGTGGAAAGGCTGATGCGAGAGAAGGTAGAGGAGAGCAGCCGAGCCGCTGAACTGGCCGAGAAGGTCAGGAAGCTGGAGGAGGCTCTGAGTGAGGCAACGTCATCGACAGGGAAGATACAGGTTGGATGACTTACTAACATCAGTCACTTAATTACTCACTCACTCACTCGCTTACTCACTCACTCACTCACTCACTCAATCATTTACTTACTCACTCACTCGCTTACTCACTCGCTCACTCACTCACTCATAATCATACACTCACTCACTCACTCACTCACTCACTCACTCACTCACTCACTCACTCACTCACTCACTCACTCACTCACTCACTCACTCACTCACTCACTCACTCACTCACTCACTCGTTTACTTACTCACTCACTCATTTACAGTAATGACATGCTACTATGCAAGTTATGATTTATGTGGTAATAGTCATGCAGTCAAACCTGGGTATATAGGGAGCTTTGAGGAAAACCTGAAAAATCCCCTGCATGGATAGGCATCCCATCTGTGAACGTCGTTACCCATATAACTGCCACTCAAGAGAAGTGCCAAAACGGTCCTTTACAAACAGGGCTCAGTTCTATAGAGGTGAGAATCTCCCGCGGATCCGCGGTTTCCCGCGTTTTTCACTTTCGAAAATTATCAATTTTCCAAATCGTTCAAATCCGTTGAGAAAACTCTAGGGGGGTGTACTTACCAACCGCGGACAGTGGAAAAATGTCCCACGGCTAGTGGTGCACTTTTATTGTCTGAGCTCGCCATCCCACGGCTGACAAATGTGCTATTCATTCATGCAATGGCGGCGTTCATGAACAAGTTAGTTTTCGAAATTTCTTTGCTTCAGAACGCGTCTGCAAGCATCTAATTAAAAAACATTTTCGGAGGGAGGACCCCCAGACCCCCCAAAGCTTCCAGTATTCCCGTTCTTCTACCAGTAAGTAGAAATATATCGCACAGATTTCGTCCGGGATCTCTGAGTTCTATAGAGGTGAACACTGATGCAGTTTTGCGTGAGGCAGTCGTACGTACATAGCAGAGACGTGGTCTGGCACTACAATCAGACTTCCGTCGCGATGCGCCACATGGACGATGGAGATTTTACGTTTAACAGGTGAAGAATGACGACAACGACAACGATGCTGACTCGCCTGACCCCGTAGAGACCCCCAGCGCGCCGCCGCCGCTAGCGCCGATGGAAGAACGCTACCCTGTGAGCACCGCGGGCGTGACGACGCGCGCGCGGCAGTTTGCCGTGCCGCCGCCCCCGCAGCGATCCAGCTTCAACCGCCGCCGCACGCTCCCCGTGCGGCTGCCGTGCAGCGACAACACGCCGCTCTCCACGCCCGCGTCCGCGCGACGCAGGACGGCGATGAGCATCTACGATGGCTTCGTCGGCGAGTTTGACGCGCGGCTGGGCGTCGCCGCGCAGGAGAGACAGTCCGCCGTCACGCCGGCAGCGGACTCGGATACGGTCAGGTCACTGAGGAGAGAGTTGGCGGTTCGGGACGAGGAGATAGCGCGGCTGCGTGAGGAGGTGACGAGGCGCGAGGTCGACAACATCGCAAATAGGTGCGTGCTGTTAGAAGTGATTTTGTGCTTTTTATGTGTTTTTTAAGTTTAAGTGTTTTAAAACTGATTTTTATTTTACGATAAATCCGAGCATAATGAGTGCACTGTTGGCAGTAGTTTTGATGGCTTATACCTGTCGTTGTCAAACTGAACAGTTGTCTTTGTTAAACATTGTCAGGATTCAGTTAGCAAAACCAGAGCAAGACCAGTTGATACTGTTGCTAATAAGCCGTTTTGATTAGAGATATCTTAAAATAATATCGGTGTTAATGTAACTTTAAATCGGACGTCTGAGGGCATTTTTTGAGGATTCAGCTGCGTTTCTAGTGTATCGTATATCAATACAATAATGAATCTAATAATATTAAACTCCTAGTCCATACTACAAAACCACAAGCTACAGAAAGGTGTGCCTCTTTCGCAGTGTGCATTTTGCAACTAGCTATATGCCTATATTATATTGCTGCTGCGTTCACGTAGTTCAGAAAATTTATCTAATACAGTTTGTTGTAAGGTTGTACATGTTGAATATACCTGTTGATATAGATTATATAGTGTATGGTGCATGGTATTTGCAATCAATAAAATTGTATCTATTTATTCTACTATCATTATCTTTGTCATGTGAATTGCAAATTACCTTGCATCCATGTGCGCCAGGATTAACGCTGCTATGGCTGTGTTATTATTATCATGCAGGAGAAATGATACCACTGAGAAAGAGCTCCTTCAGGGCGACTTGGTTGGATTGGAACAGGAGTGCCAGGGAAAGCAGGCAAAAATTGAGATGCTGGAAAAAACGCTCACGCAAATGTAAGTCTGCATCTATAACAGTATCGCCCCCACTTTTATTTTAGGCACTAAAAATATGAAACACAAATTCGTAAACTCGATTGAGATAAGTAAACTGTTTGTGCAGCCATGCACTATTTATGTTCCCAGTGGCGAGATAACAGGATCACTTCATTCCTTGTCTCACTCATATATAGCGTTTATTTGCATCACACGCTGAGTCGGTAATTCGTAGCTGTTTGCCCATTAACCTCACAGGAGAGACAGCAAGGAGAAGCTGGAGAGGGAGAGCGTGCGCTTGGAGGAGTCGTTCGAGGCGCTGCGTGAGTTCACGCGCTGCGAACAGGACGTACACGAGACGGACCAGGTACCTCCTCGTCTAGACGTGCCACGCGATAGTGCGCGACGTTGTTAGTGTTGCGCGTGCAGTGCACGAAATTAGCACTATTTTGCCGGCGGCCGCTGGTTCAATCTCCGAAACCGTCGCTTCACCCCTCCCCATATATTCGGTCCACTTGGCCTATTCAAAATTTTGCCTATCTTGCTTTTATATCAACAATATTTACCAATTTCCTGACTAGTTTTTACTTGGTGACTACTAAGAAGTAAATCATGTTCCAGCAATTCCTGTAAAACAAGCAGAACGTAATGTAACGCATGTTAGGTCGGCTGGGCTAAATGCACTGACCTTCTTAATTCTTTTCTTCTTTTCTCGTCCTGTCGCTTAGCAAGAGCAGCTGAGTGAGACGGCGACGCTGCGGGAACGGCTGGAGGCAACGCTCGCAGAGCTGAGCAGTCTCCGCACGGCGCGGGAGGCCGAGGTCGACATGCTGAGTGCGCAGAATGAGCGCCAGTGCGCGAGTCTCCGCGCGCTGCAGGCCGACGCCGCCGCGCTCAGACAAGAGAACGCACTGCTCGCCGCGGCAGGGGGCGTCACCGAGCCGCCCACTACGGATGAGGACGGGGACAAGGTCCAGCGAGAACCGAGGGAGGACCGACCGACGCCTACTCTCGTCGAGAGGGGATTGGCGCCGGGGACGGAGCAATGTGAGCTGGCAGAAAGCGGTGAGCTACGCACCACGGTGGAGGAGGTGGCGCGGGAGCCATGCGCCGCGATGGAGGACGGGGCGAGGGAGCTACGTGCCACGATGGAGGAGGTGGCGCGGGAGCCATGCGCCGCGATGGAGGACGGGGCGAGGGAGCTACGTGCCACGATCGGAGGAGGTGGCGCGGGAGCCATGCGCCACGATGGAGGACGGGGCGAGGGAGCTACGGGCCACGATGGAGGAGGTGGCGCGGGAGCGCGACCGGGCCGTCGAGACAGTCGGCTTGTTCAGCGCGCAGCTGGAGGATATGGAGGAGGAGAGGGAGGAGCTTCTGAAGGAGAGGGAGGAGCTTCTGAAGGAGAAGCAGCGGCTACGCGACGCGTGCAGCGGTAGGTATTCCGTCGAGACATGCATCCGCTCAACCCAAACTTGGAATCTTGCACAGAATAGGAATTTCAGCGCATCCGCAGTTTGGGCAACCAATCTGCAGATTGGGCAAAACCTGTTACATATTTGATTAACTATTAAATATTAATGCGTATTAGGTTATATCATTACCATGAGTTCTTATCGGCTTTCTTCAATGTGTTTGGCATCTTTGTTAAAATAATAAGTGATTATATTAGATAATTTGATAACTATTAGAGAAATCCCTCCTAGTTTGCACTAGTTATGCTCGCATACGCCACAATCGCCATTAAGTGTAGTTGAATAAGCAACTGTATTCAGCGTACCCAATCTTGAGATTGATCAGCCAAACTGGGAAATCCGTAGTTTGGGCAGCACGATCTTAAGATTATGCAAATTCCAAGTTTGGTTACGACACATCCGTTAGAACGTGGTCGGCCTAACATGCCTTACACCCTGAGCAACATGACCATGCCCTCCCCTCAAATACTCTTGCTGCAAAGTTCGACGAGTTTAGGCATGTTTTTCACGCGTGCACGCCAAGTTGTTGTCTTTGCTTGTATTGGAGCAATCATTGTCTTGAGTCTTTGTCAGTGAATATGTCCCTTCGTGTATAACGTGGTCAGTGACTGCAAATGCCTCTCTCTCTCTCTCTCTCCTCTCTCTCTCTCTCTCTCACAACGCTCTCGCTCCACTCTCTCTCTCTCTCCTCTCTTCTCTCTCTCTCTCTCTCTCTCTTCTCTCCTCTCTCCTCTCTCTCACGCTCTCATCTACCTCTCTCTCTCTCTCAACTCTCTCTCCTCTGCTCTCTCAGCTCTCCACTCTGCTCACTCTCCGCTCTTAAGGCACTCTCACTCTCAGGTCTCTCTCACTCTCCTAACTCTGTATGCGTGTTACTGTAGGTAATTCTCTCTCTCTCTCTCTCTCCCTCTCTCTGGCTACGCGTGCGTGCAGGCATCGACACGCTGACGGAAGAGATTGACACGCTGGCGCGGGAGCAGCAGCAGCTGGCTCTCCAGCGTGACCTTGCTGACGCGCGTGAGGAGCGGCCACGTCTGCGTGACGTCATTCGAGCGTTTGCGCGCGAGAAGCAGACGAGGAGCGACGATGCTGGCCGGCGCGCCGGCCGCTGTCCGGAAGACACGCTGACTCCTGCGCGCAGCGTAGCCTGGTGTTGCTCACTTATACAATATACAGAAAGTAGCATAAATGGGAAGAGTGTGACTTCAATAAACAAGGGAAATTCGTCATTTGACTAGCTTAGTTATAACTACGATTTACTAACGCGATAACTCAAACCAACTTGAGCTCAAATCGGTACACAGTTACATTCGCCTAGCCACCGTGCCGAAATCGTTTCCTCGTATACACCCGCAATTTTCCGGAAGATACAGACTAAAAACGTACGACAGTGATTCTGGCATTCTGTTCCCAGCATGATCGACTCGCATAACCCGCCTAACTTAAAAACAATAGGCAGCTACTAACGACTCTTGCGCCCTCGCGATTGCGGTTGGCCTCGCTGGGAGATTGGAGCTGGAGTGGCTGCTGATTGCGGTGGGCTGTGCGTCGTGTGCGGGGCATAAACCAGCTGTAAATACGGTCAAAGATTAGCTCGCGAGTTTCCGTCGATGCTCCAATCTTCCAGCCGATGGCCAACACCGATCCCCGCAGGGCGGCAAGATGTGCGCAAGATCATTAGTAGCTGGCCTATTGTTTCAAGTTTAGCGGGGTTATGAGTCAATCTGCTTGGCCAAACAGAATGGAGAAGATCGGGTCGTCACGTTACTCGTACCTCCGGATTGCGGTGTATACGAGGAACACGATCTTTCGCAGGGATCTAGCGAATGTATGTGTAGCGATTTGAAGCTCAAAGTTGGTTGATTATTACGCGTAGTAAATCGTAGTATCTAACCACAGGCTTAGTAAATGACGAATTTCTCTTGTTTCATCTGAGAGTCACAACATCCTGTCCCTATTATCATGTTGTTGGTTGTTTGTTGATTGTTGTTCAGTTTCTTTATTTTGATACTGGACTAAAGGGTTTAAATCCACCATCAGTGGAGAAACCCCCACTCCAGGAAATTCTGGTGCTCGGCTCCGGTTTTAAGGATGTAGTAACTTTAAGATACATATGCTTTCAACTAGTAGCACTTTTTGCTTTTAGCTTCCCTTCGTTGGGCTTGAGCATTATTATTTTAAGGAGGTTATAACTTTAAGATATATATGCTTTCAGACTAGTAGCACTTTTGCTTTTAGCTTCTATTGCTTGAGATTATATATATTTAAGATATATATGCTTTCTGACTAATAGCACTTTTGCTTTTAGCTTCTATTGCTTGAGATTATATATTTAAGATTATAACTTTAAGATATATATATATATGCTTTCAGACTAATAGTAATAGCACTTTTGCTTTTAGCTTCTGTGTTAGAATAATAGAACGAAACAATACATATAGAATTAGCATTTACACTAGATAACATTAAGGATATAACAGGTATACTTTCGGGTGCTAACAGAAGCAGTGCTTCTAATTAGGCACTTTTATACTATTGGGTTTAGATTTATTTTATTTCGTGATGAATCCACCGTGATTTATATATTAAAGTAAGTTTTTATGTTGTAATGTAATCTGAAGACGCTGTGGGGTGAAATCAGGAGTGAATCAAATAAAAAACCGGTTTTTAATAGTTCGCTGCTGTTGACATGCGCGGAGTTGTCTACTATTTTCATAGTAGTTTTAAGCTAATGCTTGTTCATGCCCTGCCGCAGTAGGAAAAATCTCGTTTGTGGTCCGTTTTAGGTGTAGCGTCTGAGACTAAATATTTCATCGGCATTGTTCTGTTCATCGATTTGGCATGCGGTTGCTGCATGGGATGCATTACGAATGACGACATTAATTGCTTTACGCTGCAGGTTGAGAGAATGCTGATTGAGAGCCGTTTAGAGGGGCCGGGTCCCACACATTGCCAAGGCAGACGATGCGAGCGCATCACTAAAGGAGGAGAAAGCCGAGTTAGATGCTCAGCTAGACACAGAGAGAGTATCGGCGGGTTGGCAGGGCAGACCACAGAAGATTAATAGAGTCACTAGAGCAGAGAGCGGTTGAGCTTAAGAGGGGCTCAGCTAGACCATCCACAAGGAGTGGTCGGTGGCAGGGAAGACACAGAAGATGATAGAGTCACTAGAGCAGGAGAGAGTGGCTCAGCTAGACACAGAGAGAGTGTCGGTGCAGGAGACACAGAAGATGATAGAGTCACTAAAGCAGGAGAGAGCAGAAGTAGAGGGTCAGCTAAGACCAAGCCCAGAGAAGAGGGGATCGGTGCAGAGACAACCACGGAAACGATGGATAGAAGGTGCACATAAAAGCAGGAGCGAGCAGAAGTAGAGGGTCAGCTAGACACAGAGAGAGTGTCGGTGCAGCAGACACAGAAGATGATAGAGTCACTAGAGCAGGAGAGCGTTGAGTTAGAGGCTCAGCTAGACACAGAGAGAGTGTCGGTGCAGGGAGGACACAAAGACTTGGATTAGAGGTCCACAAAAGCAGGGAAGCAGAAAGTAGAGGGCAGCTAGTACACAGAGAGAGAATATGAATCGTGCAGAGCACACAGAAGATGATAGATGTCACTAAAAGCGCCCCCCAGCGAGCGAGCAGAAGTAAGAGGGTCAGCTAGACCGACAGGAGAAGTGTTCGGTGCAGGGCAGACAACAGAACTGATGAGTAGAGGTCCACTAGAGCAGAAGCGTTGAGTTGTATGAGCTCGCTAGACCACACAGAGAGTGTCGGTCATTGGCAAAGAACACAGAAGGAGATGATAGAGTCACTGAAAAGCAGAGACAGAGAGCAGAGAAGTAGAAGGTGCAGCTAGGACACCGAGAGGCAGAGTGTCGGCAGGGCAGACACAAGAAGATGATCAATCACTGGAGCAGGACAAGAGTGGCCGCAGTCTAAGACAGCGACACGTGAGGGGTGCGGTGCAGGGACACAGAAGTGATAGAAGTCAGCTTAAAAAGAGCAGAAGTTGAGTTTAGATGCTCAGTTAGACACTAGACGAGAGGTGTCGGTTGCAGGAGGACACAGAAGATAATATGAGTTCACTAAATCCAGGATGGATCGCCAGAACGTAGGGAGGAGGGTCAGTTAGACACAGAGAGAGCGTCAGTGCATGAGACAATTGAGTCACTAAAGCAGGAGAGAGCAGAGTTGGAGACTCAGCTAGACACAGAGAGAGCGTCAGTGCAAGAGAAACAATTGAGTCACTAAACAGAGAGAACAAAACTAGAAGTACAGTTAGACACAGAGAGAACGTCAGTTGCAGAGAACAAATTGATCACTTATAAGGCAGGAAGGAGCAGAGGGAGACGTCAAGGCCTAGACACAGAAGAAGCGTCAGAGCAAGTAACAATTGAGCACTAAAACAGGAGAGGAACAAGAACTTAGGAAACGTAGAAGTTACATTAGAACAACCAGAGAGAACGTCAGTGCAGGAGACATTGAGTCACTAAAGCAGGAGAGAGCAGAGTTGGAGACTCAGCTAGATCACCCAGAGAGAGGCGTCATGCCAGAGAAAACAATTGAGTCACTAAAACAGGAGAGAACAAAACTAGAAGTACAGTTAGACACACAGAGAACGTCAGTGCAGGAGACACAGGAGATAATGGAGTCACTAAAGCAGGAGAGAGCCCCCATGCTAAGATAGGCAAGGGGGGGGCTATCCGTCTGGAACAGGAGAGGGAAGCTCGGCTAGAGGTGCTAGCCGGAGAGCTGAAGGCGGCAAGTTCCAGCTAGAAGGGGCCCTTGCAGAGAAACGTGAGATGGAGGGAGCAGCTAGAGGGCGCTCTATTGCGTGTGCGGCAGATGGAAGAGCGTCAAGAGGCACTCTCTGGTGAGCTAAAGGAGGCGATGGAGCAGGCCCAGGACGTCAGCAGGGAGTGCGCGAAGCTGACGCAACGGCAGCGAGAGGTGGAGATCGAGCATGAAGCCACGCAGAGGAAAGCTGCGGGAGGAGACGGTTGCCACGGGTGACCAGCTTCGTGCAGCCGCCGCACTGGCGGAGACGGCGAGGGGTGGAGGAGGGAGAAGCTCGCTGCCGTGAACTGCAGAGAGAGATCGCGACTTCGGTCGAGGAGAGGAGGAGCTGGGAGGAGAGGGTCGCGGAGTTGTGTGCGCGGCGCGAGGTCTCGGAGACAGCGCTCGCAGCAGCGCGGGACGACTGCGCACAGTGACGCTTGCGAAGGACAGCGAAAAGCGTCGCAGAATGAAGCGGAGAGGCTTGGCCGGGCGCTGAAGGAAGAGTCGAGCCAGCGGGAGAGGATAAAGGAGGAGCTGGCGGCTCAGCTCGGGGAAGCTCAGAGGAAGCTGGCTGATGAGGAAGCGATTAGGACGAGGTTGCAGGAGGAGAATGCTCGACGAAGCGAGTCTTGCGAGATGCCGGCGAGGGAATACAGCAGGTAATTGTTGATTATACAAACAAAAATTTGTGAGGGCTGGTAAAAAATTGCTGCTTGCCCTCTGGGCCATTGCAAAAAATCTGAATTTCGTGCCCTGTATATATAGACGTTGATTGCGTGCGTGCATGCGTGTGCATGTTCTTGATGGGCAGGTGGATCTATGCCGACCTAGCCCAGTGCGGACACGGTTTATAGACGAGCTGAAGGCCAAGCTGAGCGACACACAGGAAGAGCTCGCCTACTTTGAGATGGGCGACGTTAGAACACTGGAGGCGCTCTCTCGACCCCACCGTCGACGACGAATAGGGGAAGGTTGAGTAATCTATAAGCGTGGTCACCCCAACATCCGTAACTGCGGGGAGACGGGGGGGGGTGTTACGAGAACTTCGTGAGAAAACACGTAAGCGTAGGAATTCCTTTGGGTCTATGCTCGTAGGCCTTGAGTGTCTGGGAGGCCAAGAACAGACGAGGTCTTAGAAGATCGGTTAGAGAAGCAAAAATTGAAAGCCAGCATTTGCCATCGCCCTACCAACCATTTAAAAAAAATATTGTAATTAATTCTTAAAGCACCAGTGAAAAAGGCTGCACCGCGGTGTCAGTTCACCGCCTGGAAATTCTATCGCTCTTTCAGTTAAACAAGGAAAGTTCCAAACGAGCGGAGAGTTAGGGGCCGAAAACCTGGATAAGCGGTCTGTGCTACTTCTTGAAGTCAAGAGCAAGTCATGCGGAGATGTTGAGGACAAGCTCCACCGCTCAGCTGCCTCGCCTTGGAAAGACCACCGACCGCGAAGCGAGCGTGAGTGCAAGCGACAGAAGCAAGGGTTGGATGCTTTGTGCTGCGCATTCGTGAGGATTGGGTTGTAAGGTTACACATCTGCTGTGTGAGTCAGATGTGGGTTTGAGCTCGCGCAGGGCTTCAGTGGGAGAATATTCATCCACTCCTCGTCATCCTATTAAACGGTGCTGCGTTTGACCTCGTCTTCATTGAAATACGTCGCAACATTAATGCCAGTCTTTCCACCTTAGCTTTCTACTTCAGCTATTCATCCACAAGACGTGTATATATAAAAGAACTAGCGTGTCGTGTCGTGTTTTAGTAATCTTTTAGTCTGATGTCCTTAGAGTGTGGGAGATTAGTGAGGTAGCTGTGAAGCATCAGGACGAGCATTTAGTCGTGGGATAAAGAGAGGTATATGGACTGAGCAGAGATGTGCATTGAACTGGAGGTGGCTGGGAGTATGCGATACGAGTTTGAACTGGAAGATAATTGGCTTAGATTGGCACTTACAGTCGGTGGGACAATGCCATGAGTAGGACCAAAGTGGGAAGTGCGATGTAGTGTAGTCCACAGGCACTTAAGCGTTTCAATAAAATATAATGCTAACTAAATACGAAATCTATTTACCATCTACCAAATTCTTAATGTTTCTATACTCTCTTTCACCTATTATTGCCGACAGTTTCTTGTAAATTCCGTCCAAATCCTACGTCCAACATACGCTGTCGGCGGCCATTGCTCTCGCAGCTGCACTGTTGCACGCTTACACTTATATATATAAGTTCTCGTATTTAGTTTATTAAAAGTTATATTTATTGAAAGTTGAAATGCTTCAAGTGCCTGCATGTAGTGTAGTCAGTGTGTTATGCTTTACTTTCTGAGTTCGTTTACGTACACGTGATTTATGACACTATTGTATATGCAACACGTCACGGTAGTAATAAAACATACGCCGGGGTCTTTGAGCCTGTGTGATGAACAGAAACAGACAGACGTGTTTTTAGCTCATCTGACGAAGTCAGATGCAGCTTGTAGAATCGCATGAGCGTGCGTGCGTCTGTCCGTCCGTCTGTCAACAGTTGCGCACAAATCTTAACCGCTCGACGTACGGTCACGATATTCAGGACGTGGGTGGGGTCGTGAAAAGGACTCGGGATGACAAATTTGGGGGGTCAAGGGTCAGAGGTCAAGATGTGTAAACGGAGGGGGAATATTTCTCCCTTAACTTAAGGTATAGGAGGAAATACGGAATTGCGGCACAAATCTTAACAGGCAGAAAACCCATCACCAGTGCGAAATCACAGGTCACCTCCGGTGACAGGTCAAAGGGCAGCGAGGGAAAGGTCAGATATTAGAAATTTTCTGAGGACATGGCCTAATGGACAGAGTGAAAAACGTTGTTGTTTCAGTGCTGACCTACCATTTTTATCACTATTGAAAGGACCATGAAATGTGCTTTCCACTGACGTGCGAAGAGTAAGTGTCTGATAACCTTTTTGACCCTCAAGAGGAGGGTTAAACATGGATTCCTGAACTGCCTCAATGACGTCACAGTGTTGTCATATTCATGGCACATCCATAATCTAGAAACCCAATAAGGCGGGATAGCCGAACGCGTACAGCACAGGCCTCATGGCTCAAAGGTTGTTTGATCGAAGCCCA